TCTTTGTGTAAAAACTCCAGTTCACCTAGGAGGTGTTTCCAGATTCTTTCTGCTGCTACTTTCCTCCACTTATGAGAGATGTACACTGGATGGCTGTCTGTGCTCAGGGTTCTGAGGTATGAAGACCTGCAGTGGGGGATCATTTGCTTCTTGCATGTGAGTCCAGGCCTGGCTGCACGGTGGGGCAGAAGCCAGCACAGCCCTGGGACCACTGCCTTAGCCAGAGGCACAAGCAGGTATGGGACCTGTTTCCCTCACCCTTCATTCCCCTGTTCAAGTGATCTCTGTGAAAACACCTACCAGCCCACCTGTGTCCCTGGTGAGTGGGAAGAAAGGCAAGAGATCTACTCTATAGCTATGGGTCAGTTATCTTTTACTTCTATGGAAATGAATCAAATTCCTACGTCAACCCAGGGTATGGAAAACAGGGGTCTTTATTGCTTGAAATATTCTGTGCAACCAATTACCACTTTGCTACCTGGTGCAAAAAGCTTATAGTAGGGGAAATGCATATTTGCTCTGTCTGAAACATTCTGCTGAAGAGATTTATTTCAGATATGCATTTCTCCATATCTCTTGGCATGCTGCCTGCTTTGCAACAGCACTGCTTTGCTTGTGGGGAGGTCAGTTGGGAGTGGAGCTGGACACTGCCTCCTCTTTGAACAGGGCTGAGGCAGATCCTGTGCTTCCTTGAACACAGTGCCTGCAATTCTGCCCATTTCTTAACTAGGCCATACGCCAGGAGGGGGGAAGACTTTGAGATGTTTCACAGGCTACAGTGAGGGCCTGAAAGAACCTGGATAATCACAGCGAAAAATTCTCTCTGATAAATGTAGTTGAAAGAGTTGAAACGCTAGGCTGGAACGAGGAAATATCCTGTGTTTGCTGTCCAAGTTGAGAAGCCTGTTTGTGAAACCTTCAAAATGAAACCTTGATTGCATTACTTACCTCTCTGTGCATTTACTTTGGCAGAAGGATTCTTTGTAGGATGATTATGAATAATAAATAATGTTATATGGAGAAAAGCGTGCATTCTGTCTTCACTTTACAGCTATAATTTTCAGGATTACAGCTGTAATCCTATTGGTCTTAGTAGAATTTTTTCTTGAAGGAAAGATGTTGGCTCAGTTTGAGTTGAGAGAGCAGGCTCTAACATCTTTTCCTAACATTTCAGGTACTATATTAGATTCTATTTCATTTAGATGATCTTCTCATATTTTTTCTCGTATTTCTGGACTGCGAGTGATCAGCTACTTGTGCCAGCATAACTCAGCTGCTAGTTCTCCTGGCCACGTAAATGCTCTCTAAAACTGAGAGTGCTGGGAATCATAAGTGCTGGAGTATTTGAAGCCATGAGTGCTGTCCTGCCTGGAGTGGACCTAAGCTGTGCCCTGCAGTTCACACTGTGTCAGGTTCTGAGTCGATACCTGACTTGTTTTGCAGAAGCAAAGGCAGCAACTGCTCTGATTTCAAGATCCTCCTTGCATTATGTGAATTTGAAAGCTTCTGGCACTCCTCTAGTTTTCACCTTCAGTTTGTTCTCACCTTGAATTTGTTTTCCTGTTCTACATACCTCTGTTCCTGCTTCTGTGTGACCTGAGCTCCACCAGGTTAAACTTTGAGGCCTTTTGTCCAGCTAAAGAAGGCTTTCCAGCAGAGGATTCATACTCTCACTCTCTGCAGCCCTCCCAGCTCATCCTATTAACAAGTCCACAATGGATGGATGGTTTGTTCTCATCTCTAACAGGGCAGTAATGACAGATACACCCTGGAGAGAGCTCCAAATTCTGATGAAGACAGACACGTGCCCCTAGACAAATGGCACACAGGATATTTGTATTAGTGTGGATAGGCAGACTGTTATTGGGACCAATGCCTCATCCTATGTGGATATAACAGCAGTTCAGTAATTGGTGTGATCAGGCCTTTCTCAGTAATACCTGCAGGGAGGGAACTACAGCAGAAAAGTTGATGCTTAGTCTGTGAGTAAAGACTTGGAAACTGGTCACAGTAAAAGTTTTGCTTTCTTGCAATGGGAGAACAGTCTCATGTTACTCTGTGCACAGTTTTGTGCTCTGTTTGCATAAAGCCTTCTTAATAGATGTAGGTGTTAATGAGAATGGGCAGAACTGTGATGAACCCACTTGGAAGATGCACAGGATCTATCATGAGAGAACACTGAGTACAGTTTGGAAAGTTGGTTACCTCTCATGGTATTAATAAAGATCATCTCTAGTTACTTTACCTTCTGGTGTTCACTTCAAAAAACCTGACACTGAGAAGTCAGCAGCAATAGAGAGAAGAGCGAGGTGATGGGTTTAATATTGCAAAACCTCTCAAGGAGAGGCTTCCTGCATCGAATGAACACGTGAAGTTGCTCAGCAAAGGCTGAGCTGCAGGCTGCAAGTGCTGCGTGTGATAGCAGAGGAGAAGGAGAAACAGCCTAATGAGATCGGATGCCTGGAAGCAGAGCTGGACAAACGCTGATTAGAAATAAGGCGCAGTGTTTAAAGGGAGGTTAATGAACTGCTGGAATAACTTTGCCGTGCTGAATTTACTGCAACTTGAAGGCTTCAGATCAAACCCGTGGCTGTGATTTGAAGCATTATTGCCTTATAAGCACTTCTGGGGGTTCTCGAAGGACCTCGAGGGTTGGGAGCAGCGCTCAGCCTGGCGTCTGCCCACACAGCAGCCTGGCTCCCAGAGGGGAGGGTGAACGGAGGAGTTCTGTGACAGCAGCGTGTTAGCATGATTAATGATAACACTTAATTTGCCTGGACAGCTCATTCCCGCACAAAGGAGATCTCGGAAGGGCCGACGACAGCTCCGCCGCATGGGGCCGGCTGAGGCGGCGCGGCGCCGCCAGGGGGCAGCAGCGCCACGCGGCAGAGGCGGCGGCCGCCGGGAGCCTTCGGGAGCCTTCGGGAGCCTTCGGAAGCCTTCGGGAGCCTTCGGAAGCCTGACTGCCCTCTCCCCCCCTCACCCCCCCCCCTCAGGAGTCAGAGAGAATGGAGGAATTAGGGCTTTCTGAATATTTAATGGATGGAGGTTGTCTAAATTATTGAATAGCTTATTATAAGAGATGGCTTAAAAAGGTTTGGTAATTCATCCTTTGCAGAAAGTGGCTGTAAGAGGCATTTTGCAACATGTAAATATTGGTGGGAAGAGTACTTACTTTAGAATGCTGTCTTATTGTGTCAAAAGAAATATACAGTGCCTGCAAGGCATCAGAATGCCCCTGGATATGCATTATTATCCGCTTCTTTTGCTGTATCCCTCTAATTAGAATGAGTTGGGATAACCAGTACTTCCCTGTCTCTACCCAGTGTTTAACGTGTCTTTGGTGACACTGAAGTTAGTATTTACCTGTAGGTGCATCTCAAGTTCTTCTTCCTTCTCTGATAAAAATTACAGAGCAAAGAAGTGCCAAAACCTAATTTGGTGTATGGAGGTATTGATTCCTGCAAGAGCACTGTGGGGATATATTTATCTGTTCTATTATGAAATGGGTAAAAATGTACCACGCCGCACTTCAGTCTTTCAATACTGTATTGAAAAGCCTGCTTGCGTGCTTTTCTTCTCAGTAAGCCTTTGGAAGCACACTGATTTTTTTTATTTTTTAATATTTTATGCGCTTAAGAACTACTAACAAGAAAGGCTTGATATAATGCTTGCCCTAAGACATCTTTTTGCCCACGTTTTGTTTTGATTTGAACTGCTGCACTGCGACTTTGGCTCACTCTGAAACTCCACATTTGAGGATTGAGACAGAGTAAAATGTGGTTAATTATGGATTGTTGGCCTGGTACTGCTTTAATTCCAGTGTTTGCTGTTTTCTCATTGTGTTCTGAGCAGGAAGAAATGGAGTGTGTTGAGCCAGGGCCGTTCCTGTCCTAAGCTCCTGGAAGATGTCTGCTTACTGACTTTTCTGCCCCCAGTGTGTGTTAATGTAATTTTGTGTTTCTTAAAAAGTGGGTTTCCAATTGATCAAAGGACTACTGAAATGAAAGGAGTGGTGGGAGAACATGGGAAAAGCTTATTGTGATCACTCCATCAGGGGAGACCACATTATTATTACTCTCACAAATTACACTGTGTCTTGTTTCCAATAACAGAAGGTCAAGTTGAGCCCAGGGATAGAAGTGAGAGAACGAATATAAACAATAAAAGCAAAGAGACTTGGCTGCCTATGAATTGGAGTGTTTGAGCTCGTTATTCGGTGGAATGCGTGTCACTAGTGCTAGAAAACTATCTTCATATAATGACTTGGAAATGTAGCTTCTGGGTGCAGGTGGGCTTGGCCTGAATATGGTGCAAGTAGAACCAAAAGCATCAGTGGGTGCAGTAAAACATTGATCACACAGACGTGATCCTATGGATGCAGCCCTGTGGACCCTCTCTGCTCCTTTTGGGGCTGGACTCCAGGGGCCTTGGCCAAATCTTTATGAATATGGTGAAGGATTTCACTCCACGTTTAATAACCTCTTATTCAATTTGTTGGAGGTTTCAAGCAATCGTGTAGAAATCTGTTTGCACCGTGGCAGTGTCCTTCCACAATCTAACAGCTCCCATGGCATTTGTGTGGAGAGAGGACACTTGGTTGTCAGCCCACAGTAAGCAGCATGCCTTCTATGTATAATTTTCAGTGGAGCAAACTCTGCCTTTTGTTAATCATAGAAACATAGAATGGCCTGGGTTGAAAAGGACCATCATGATCATGTAGTTTCACTCCCCCTGCTATGTGCAGGGTCACCAACCACCAGACCAGGCTGCCCAGAGCCACATGCAGCCTAAATGTAGTTAATGTAGTGGTATTTCACAGCTGTCTCCACACAGTTCTCCCTGTGTTCTTTTAAACAAGTGAGAAGAGCAGCGTTTGCTGCCTTTGGCATCGGGTTGTACTGTAGATGGCACTGTGAAGCAACGATTTTGATAACAAAGATCTATTTCACAGCATCATTCTAGTTGTTAATTGCAGTGTAATATGGCTTTCTTTGTAGGTCCCCAAAGTGAAGAGAACGTTCTGAAATGCAGAAAGGCTTATCTGCAGCCGCAAATGGGAATCTGGAATAACTATGAAAAACACACTGAAATAATTGTGTTTGACTGGAACAAAATTCTTGCAAAGTCCCCAAGGTAAGAGTGCTTTTTAGCTTTCAAATGACACTGAAGATTTGCTGTTGTGGTTAGCAACACTATGCACTTGAATCTGAGAGAGCTAAGGCTTGACATTTCTGAGAGTGGCAGCCTGCTGATGCTGAAGGGCCCAGCACCCCTTGTTGCATCTGTCTGCCAAATTTCATCCATCCCTTGTCTTGTTAAAGATCACCCTGTATTTCTCTATGTTAGTGGGCTGAAGACTTGTATCCTGTCTACCTGAAGTCTGCAAGTGTTGTATCGTTTTAGTGATACTGAATGGTTTTAGCAGCCTCTCAGCTTGGATATAACTGTATGGATGTTTTTTAGTGATTCACTTATTTCTGAACTCAAATGTACTTACTCAAGACTAAGTTTACTCTGTTATGCTAATTGAGCCTTGTTTCCCATTACCTATCTAGCATCAGGGTCCTGGTTTCAATGCAGTCAGACTTTCATAACATGGGAAAGCTTTGAAATGATGTCAGCTCACATTTCCACTGAGCCTGGGCTCGCTCCTCTAGTGGGAATGGTGGGAACACCTGGATCCACTTAAATTCTGAAAAAGGAGCTGTTGAGCAGCCAGTGCACGATTTGAGGCCAAATATCTGTCCCAATTTTCAAGTCACACCAGAAATGACACACTCAGAATTTCTGTCTATAGTATTTACTTTCAAAGGTTAAATCCTGCTTTTAGTAACACCTTAGGAAACCTGAAGGAAGGTCCCTATCTTTATTAATTACTACAGAGTGACAGCAGACCTGGGATGTCCACTGATACCTGGGTCAAATTTCTGTATTCGGGTTTAGGGCAGCAGAGTTGATGAGCAAGATGAGTAAATCCTGGCTTCCTATTCAGAGGTACTGGTGCACAGGGTACAAGCCACGTGTTACTGTTGTCATAAGAGGAGACAGAAAACAATGGTTAAATGGTTAAATTCAGCTCTCCCCTCAATAGCGTGGCGTTACTGTCATTATCTGGGGAAAATCTGGGGACTGAACTCTGAAATGGTAGATTGATTTTAATACCTGCTGTGCAGTTTACCCAGATGAAGATCAACAGCAATAACAACACTTGTGCCTTCACTCTCACTCAGCCCCGTTAGCTGCACTGGCCTCCTGTGGTTCAGCTGGGTGCAGGTGAATTAGGCCCATGGTTATCAGCTGAAGGGTAACTGCTGTGAATTAGCTTAGGATGCTCCGTAAGAGGATACTTCTAGGATAGATAAGGAGCACTGGAGTTTTTGTCTCTTGATTGGTTGATTCATGCTTGCAGAAGCCTGAATCACACACTGTTAATAAGGAATCTGTTTCTTCTTAAATTGATTTCAAAACAGAGCATCTTCTTAGCATAGTTTAATATCCATATTTTTCCCAAATCAATCCTTAAAATATGGGTTATTTATTTTTTTCTTTAAGATTCTGTGTTATTTTACAATAAATGTGAAGCTTTTAAAAATATATATATATAATGATGGGCTGAAGACTACAAGGACAGCTGAAGGGGGAGAACAATTCCTTGATTAAAAACAAAGGAATCCCAAACCAGCAGGTACAAATAGTGATTGTTGCTAAAATATATTTGCGACAGGTTTCTGGCCTCTTAACTTTTGATATGAAGAAGTGCATTTCTGAATTAATCGGGCCTCATCAATGTTCTCATTAATACATGTTGAGAGAACAGTGTTGTCTTGTGATGAGCAAGAAGGAAAATCGGGCAAGCACTCTCAAATGAGAAAATGTGAGATCTGCTTTATTTTCACTGGCAGATGGTTACTGGATTTAAAACCTGCCTGCCATAGACTAAGCTAAGGCATGGGATTGTTTTAATTTTATTTATTTATTTTCAAATTATCACTTGAGTTATCTGATTAGTTGAACAATTTCAGGTATTATAAAGATATATAAGTGTAAAAAAAAATAATTCAGAATGTACCTGGAGGAATCAGAACTCGAATCTGCAGGGAAAAGTTCTCAAAGGACTTCTTGGTGCAAATAAAAATGCTTGTGATAGGCTTGTCCAAATCCCAGCATGCTGATTAACTACAGACTAACGCTGCTATGAAAGCAGTATTTAGTTCAGTTTATGCAAATCTGTGATTTGCCTTTAATTAATTTGATGTATTCCTGCTTACAGCATTTTCTGAAAGTGGGAAATGTTACATCTAGGAGTTCAAGTGCATAATGCACATTTATGTGTTGCACAAGTAATACATCATCATAATTGAGTTTAAGAAAATGATCAGATTAACTTTCTATATGATGAATGGCATAACATAAGCTATTGAAGGATTTAATTGCAGATATTTGCAGCAAAATTACTAGGGATTTGTGTCTGTATTTCTATCGCTCCTATAAATAAGACTAACAACATCTGCCTTCTGTTAAGCAACTGTTTTCTGAAATAGTTTCTAACATTGACAGAGTAGTGAGACCTTATGTATTTGGCTGAGTTGATGGTTTCATGACTGTTTAACCCTTAGCAAGCCTAGTGATGTCCAGGAAAGCCAGCAGATAATGTGTACTTGAGTGATAGACCCGAAGGGGTGTTAAATACAGATGACATTGTACTGTGGTGTTTCTATGATTTTGAGGCAAGGGTTGTTATCAATACGCATATTGAAGTTTTGTGGATGGACCTTAACCAAAAAACAATGCTGCCCAAGATGCACTGCAGTTGTGTGGTGTTGTTATAAATATATGTGTGGTAATCTGATGTGTGACAGCCATCGCGTTTCTTCTATTGGTAAAGCATACTTAAAAAATGAATTGATTTCAGCCAAACTGTGAAAGTGATTTTTGTCAGTGCTGCCTTATTTGTTATTCTTCAGTATCTTCACAGAGTTTCCTTTCCAGCACTGGTTTTTATGTTATTCCCTACCCACGTTGTTCTTTCACTCATCTTCTTCCTTTTCTGCCTCCAGGATGAGATTCTGTGCCAAATCAATGCTTCTATCTGACTGGCTTTTTCTGGTCTATGTGTTAATGGTCTGCTGTAAATTGTTGTCCGCCTCTAGCCACCATCCCCGGGGACACACAGGTAGGAGTGTTTGAACTCATTATGTGCTACTGAGACCAATTAATACCACTTGCAGAATGTTAGGGCCCACTTTTTAGCAGTGGATAACTGATGAGGCTGTTGACAGCGTGTTACAATCAGTGCAATGGGTTAAAAATACAGCAGCGACAAAACATGTTACTGTAAAAATTCATGGAGTTTCTAGCAATTTTTTGAAGTGAAATCCCTCCAAATTTTTTTTCTGGTGAGCTTCATGACTGCTGGGACTTCAGTTTTTAAATTTCTTTATTTATTTTATTTTTTAAACAACTCTGAAATGTATCTTTATCTTCCCTCTCCTAATCTAGTCCTTACCAGGAGAGTTTCTAATGGTATCCTTGGCTTTGGTGAGCAATAAATCAAAGCTCTAAGACTGCGTGAGCCAGTTCTTTCACAGAGTAACACAGATATGGACTGTGGTTTAGTTCATCTTGTCATATGCTATGTTTTTTTCCTGCAGAGTAAAGCAAAAATAATTGCATTTAAAGGAATGCATTTAAATTCTAGCGAGATAGATCTACCAAGAACAGTGTAAGTATCTATAAATGGCAGAAAAAGCTCAGAACAAGCTGGGTTGGCTTTGTGAACTGATACAAGACTGGATCTTGGAAGCAATGTGTTTGTGCTGAGACTGTGCAGAGAACCCAGCCTCACTGCAGAAAGGCATATAGATGTACCAGTGCTAATGCCCTGTATCACCTTTGATCCCAGAAGCAAGAAAGGTAAAGCTAACACAGTAGTACCAGTGAATTCTGATTTTAGGAGAGCTCAAAATCCTGGCTGCACCCACAAGATGAGAAGAGTGAGCTCTCAGTACTGTAGTTAGAGTTGTGCTGGCATGGGGATTTCTGCTTTCTATTTGTGATAGTCACATTCTTAAATCAGGTGCATTGCCATTAACGCATGTAATGTTCTTAACTCTGAATCACATTCTCATGGGTCCACGTGTAATGTTAACATACACTTCAGCTCAGCACTAGGAAGTGAAGGTACTTTTGTTTGAGTGCTCATTCTCCAGATGAGACAACCTGCTGAGCTCTTTCCTGGCTGCTTCTTGTGATTGTCTAGGTAGGAGCTGAAGGATCATCGTGTGCTTGCTAAAAAAATTGAAAATCCTGGTGCACCCCAATGAATTTGACCTACGTAGAGCTGCTGTGTCTGTCTATGCACTCACAGCATGTTAGCCACATGTGTATCTAAGAACTACACAGGATACCTCTTGACCTTGCTTTATCACCAACTTCTGGGTTCCATGGTGCTGTAGAGCATTTGTACCATGCTCAGATGTGTCATTTGGCACTGCCCATCCAGCATGAGCCTACTGCTTCATTCAAGTTCTATTTAAATTTAGTCGTCTTGTCAGGGAAAAAATCCCTCTAGTTTTCTTTAAAGCATGGACTGATATGGTTTACTGGCAGTTTTTTTTTTCTTGAACACCATATGATTGAAGCCATTGAAAATGGATTCCAGCCCACTACTTTCTTCTGGGGGTTTGACATCTCACTGTTGAAGGAGATCTGGCCAAAACTATAAACCAGCAGTAAGGGTGTTAAAGTTACTGACAAAATACCAAAAGAATTGAAAACTACTTTCCCTGCTAGATGCTTTTTCCATATAGTGAAGTGTGTTTGCCATGTGATACAGTCATGGGTCATGGAGAAATACAGAAGTCTAAGCGAAACCCTATAAGGTTTTCCAGTGAATACAAGATGATTTGTATTACCTTCTTACAGGTAGCTGTTATGGTAACTGACTAAATCACTTCACTAAAGAGAAGAGTCTACATACAATGCCAAGTTAATTAGGCATTCTTGACCCTTCCTATAAAGAACTGTTGCTTATCAGCACATTTTGGAGCTGATTAAACCATTGAAATTCCTTTTGTCATTCAGGGAAGGGTCTTGCAAAAAGAAATGTTATTTTTCTCTTTTTAAGATGCACTTTGCATGTGTACCTAAGGGAAATACATGTAATAAGGCAGCAGTGATCCCCTGTTGTGGGCTCATACGATGAATGCTCATTATGTGTCATGTAAATTTTGGCAAACTTTTAACACAACAGTTCAGAATGCTTGACTGCATTCTTTTAACTGACACTAAGGATTTTTTCCCTTTATCAAAGAAGTATTATAAAACATAATTGAGGTTCTCAACTGTTAAGCAAATTTTCTTACAGTGCTTTCTCTGGTAGGCTAAAGAAAGGTTCTGCATAGTAGTATGGTCAGATCATAGAGCTCTTTCTTCTTCAAACAGAATGCCTCGAGGCTGGAGCTTTTTTGCACCTTTTTAGACACGTGTCGTATTCTTCCCTGGACATGAGCTTCTCTCATGCATACACTGAAGTGACCCCCATCCCAAATTGATTCTATATTTCAGATGCAAGTCACCCCACTTTTGATTCCCTGTCTCCCTTATCTGATGCATGGCATCACAGAGCATTTGGAAGGTCCTCATGATGGGGCCTGCATTTCCCAGCATCATCTTTTTTTGGCTGTGATAGCACCTAGCTTGTGATACTTTAAGAGGAACTTGTTTTTAAGAATGCGTTATTTGCCCCTGAAAACCCCTGAAAATGTGTTTCAGTCTGTATTTGGGATCACTAGTCTCTTTTAGAAAAAGTGCTTACTCATGACATCTAAGAAAGTTTATTAGCCAAGGGCAGACAATAGAATTTAAGCTGAAAAGTGGGATTGACTTTTTTTCTTTGCAAAATACTGCAATTTTTAAGGAGTCTAATCCAGGAAAAGACACATATTGACTTTGGTTGTTTTAGATGGCACTTGAAAGAATGACATTTGACAGCTGTCTCCATAATATTCAGACAGGAACAGAGGCTAGATCTTTAAGGACCCAGAAACAATCCTGCTGCTGAAAAGTGAGAGACAATGGCATTGAGCAGTCCCTTTGACAAAAAGGGCCTCATCACTGTAATAAAGTGTAGGACAAGGCAGGCCTGTTCTTTTGTTCTGCAATATATTTGCTGCCATCAAATAACTCTTAGTGGAGAAAGAGCCCTGTTCAATCTAGCAAGCCAATTCTGCCATTGCTTTGAAGAAGTTTGGATCTTGAATCCAGCTTGAAGGCCTCAACCTATCTTTCGTTTGAATGGCGCAATAATTTTGACTGACAAAATTAACTAGGCAAAAGGTAAAGGGGAGATGTTCCTTCTCATTATCATTACATCACTGAAGATGCTGCTTATGCAGATTATTTCAGCAGGCTCCCTCTCTATCTGTGGAGAAAAGACGATTCAGAACATTCATCTGATTTCATTGCTGTGAAGTACCCTGTTGAAGAGCTTGTCTTTTGCACTGACAATGGCTGAGCACCAACCTTTCCACAGCTATTTAGAATGAGGCGGTATTTCAAGCTCCCAGAGTTCCTAACTGAGACCAGGATAACTATCAATTCCGTGCTGTGCTGAATGAAGCAATGTACCTTTAGTACCAGAGATTTGTTTCCACCTCACTGCTGTAAGTCAGGATCCACAAATGATGAAACATTGAATAGACACTTCCTCTGGTCATCTCACTTGGGGGCTGGACTTGTAGCTCGTTGATTGGTATAACCAGCTGAACAGTTTCTGTCATGATTAACCAGTGCAGCTTGGCTTTTTTGGGGCTGCTGCATTTTATTTTGATGTGATGATTTCTACCTGAAATACTTTCAGCCTCTTTCTGCTTGCTGAAGATTCCAGATTTTGGAGAATCCATTATTAATACACCTGGAAACCATATGCTTAATATACATCTGTAGGGCCAAATTTGACTCTGAACTGTCTTACTTGGTTCACTTTCTTTTTTCTTTGTGATTTCAAGTGAAGAGTTCTTCCCTAATAATCTGCTTGCTTCCCACAGATACAGGATGATGCAGAGCATAGGGATAAATCACTCTGTTTGAGTTCACTGGGACAGCTTGGTCTTCTTGCCAACTGGAAGAATGAATAGTAACTTCACAGAGTTTATTTCCCATTGCTCTGCAGATGGATTAATTTACAAGGTTATCAGAGGTTCAGTGAGAGAAGTCTTGTTGAAAATTGCAATGGCAAGTCAAATGTGCATGACCGTGGAGATTGGGAAGTGGATTCATAAGGGAATTAGCAGCAGCCTGAGGTGTTGAAAACTCTACCTCTTTGCTTAGTGAAATGCAGCAGAAAATCTAATTTGCTGCTTGGCATCTTAGATGCAATCTCCTGCAACCAGGATGCTGTCTTGGCTGTTGTTTAGAGGACCAGGGGTTTCAATTTTTCAACTGTGTGTAAAAGATGGGCTTCTTTTGTTGATTGGCTGTACAGGATCTGCACAGGGATCTGAGATAATTTTCTGGGCTCTCATGATCATTTTCCTTTGTGCCCTTCTGACTGATGCCTGAACTGGGTGAGGCTGATGCATGGGACTCAGCTCATCATTTGAGTTATGTAGTTGTGCCTTTGATGCAGAAAACAAAGGCTCTCCTCTCTGCTGTTCCTGTTCTTCCCTTGCTGCTGGTTAGAGAAGGCAGTCTTTTTAGAATGTGTCTGTTTCTGATTTTCTGTCTGTCTTTAATTGCTCTCTGATCTAGCCTACCAGTGGGACAATCCAACTCACTTGTTTCTCACAGAAGCAGTCTGCTTGTCACTTGGTAATGGCAAATATTTTATGTACATAGGCCTGGGACAGAGTTCTACCATTGACTGCAGTTGTTTTGGTCTGCAGGGCTCTCAGGATCTTTTTTTTTTTTTCTTCTTTTCTCTGAATATGAGATGTCAACTGGAATTCAGTCTTGTTAATACCTTTTGGTCGGGCTTTTGGTTTCAGGTGGTCTGGCAGCAGACAGAGTTGTTCCTCATCAGTTGCAGCTTTTCACAGCTTTAAAGACTTTGTGAGTAAAATTGTGCCCTGATAGAGTCAAGTAGAAAAACTTCTCTTTTACATTGGCTCCAGGGCTTAATCTACTTTAATTGAAGGCTAGCTGGAAGATGCAACTTTATGTTAGAAATACTGC